ATGTTAATTATTATTATTATTATTATTATTATTGTTGTTGTTGTTATTGTTATTGTTATTATTATTATTATTATTATTATTATTATTATTATTATTATTATACTATTATTCTCTAAAGGGCCTTTTATGGCGGCTAGGTAGTCACGGGCCACGCCCACACCCAATTAAGCACAATGACGCTGTGAGTTGTGGGTAATTCTCCTGTCTTTACCTCTAAAAAAGGAATGACAAATAACGCTCATTAGGCTTATTTCTACGCTTAGCTGGATAAAAATTATCCTTTAAGCATACAGTCCTCTTTAAATCCATACAGCCTACAGTCAATATTTCTGGAATAAAAGGTAGGCTTGTAATAACCGTGTTGTATTTTGTAAAAAGCTGCCGTTTTTGTAACAAACCATGTATTTTGTAATAACTCTCTGTCGTATTTTGTAATAAAATCTATCGTATTGTAAATAACACTTTAAATGTTACGTCGTATTTTGTAAAAAAAAAAAATAGTCGTATTTCGTAATACCGTTCGTATTTTGCAACAAATTTTGTCGTATTTCAGTCGAGACAAGAAACATTCTCAACAGAACAACAGTTCTTTTCATAATTATCTACGTGGTGTACCGCAAGCATTTAATATGGTAAATATAAGAATTTCCTCTAGTGTATAGATAAACACTGTTCAGTTCATTGCTTGTATAAACGTTTGAACAGAAGACACTGTTACCTGTTACAGATGGAGACATAGTTTAGCTGGTTGAGTTACCGTACATAATTTTTCTTTTTGTATAGTTGCTGCATGCCAAGAAGTAAGCATAATATTTATTAGTTTAATTTATGAGGAATACTGTCACCGTACGCTATGCCGGTATGATTATGTTTTTTTTCCAATACAGTTAAGGCAGAAATTAAAGAGGGCACTATTTAAGGTCATTTAGGTGAATTGATAAAAATGTAAAGCTACGGCGTAACAGTGGAAGAGTAGGCCAACATCTCTTGGTAGTCGTCGAGACAGTGTAGTCGACATAGTGAAATTTATCGGACTATTAATATTGTAATTAAAATATCTCTACACCACTGTTTACTGACAGCATATGTCTTTGGAGTATAAAAAGCCGCTTTAAATCCGGTCGCTTTTTGAATAGTAATGTTAATAGTATAGCATACATACTAAATGTATATAGTACTATTGATTCTTAAGGATATAAAAGCATTTAGAAATGCTCGGACACAGGTTTTAAGACATTTTTATGTATTGTTTTGATGATGATTTCTCACAAACATTTCCTTCATATTCAATATAAATAAAGGTAATAGGCATATATTTATGTAGCAAGCAAATATATTTGAATATTAACTTTACCAAATCCGACGAAATTCTATACACATGATATAACGTACTGTTTAATAATGGCTGTCTACCCAATTAAAATAATAATAATAATAATAGCTTATTTAAAACGATTAAAATAAGATGAAAATAAAAAATAACTTTCACTGATTTACAGACGATCCTACAAATATCCAGCCAATGATTCATGCAAAAGAATACAGAAAATACGCTCACTGTCTGTTATATGATACAGGTCTGAATGGGATTTTCTTTTTTTTCTCATTACGATTTTTAATTGTAAAAAACTGTGTCCGAAGTAATCGTAATTTGTCTCCGAGCATTTATAAACGTTTATCCTTCTCATTCAGTACTATTACAGGGGTATTGCTACAACACATGTCATATCTAGGCCTATATGCTATACAGTAGACCTACTGAAATAGCCAGATTCAATTATAGTACTGTGCTTTTATTATATTCCAAAGACCATGCTGTACATAAACTGTGCCTAGTCATAGGGTTATTATTACAATTATAATCTATTAAAATTTCATACTGTCTTGACTACTAAGGCCTATTGAAGAGATGTTAGGCTACTCCGTAGCGTTCATCCACACATAAGCACTGCAGCTTACACTCGATACACCACACTGAACTCTGTTTCGCGAGGGGAAAGTCTAGCTTGCATATTCATGTGTACCAGTTCACCTAACTGACCTAAAATAGCGCCCTCTATTATTTCTGCCTTAACTGTATGGGAAAAAAATAATGCATCCCGGTAATGGTGAGTATCCCTAGCTGTTGCCAACCATAAACTTCTTTACCATTGCCGAGACAGCGTACGGTACAATGCCTCTATACACATTAGAATGTTAAATTACGAAATCATTGTACAGGCCTAGGCTAAGTATAACTGGATTTCATGTATTGTATATATTTACAGATCGAATAAATAACTGAATTTAAGTTCAATTTACAATATGTAGGATTCTGAAATTTGTTGTGAGTTTGTTGGGTACGACGGTCATCAAACTTCGATTCGTACCTGCTAACCAGGGGATCTCACGAAAACTTGCTTGGTTATTTACGACTGAGAAAAATATAACGGATAGGAATGATGGCTGATAGGGAGCTCAATAATTCTAAACTGAAAACTGCGCTGACGAGGCACGAGTAGGCCTACAATCCGATGACAGAAGGTAAGGGCAAGTAGATGAATTTATAAGGTTAGCGAAGTCATTTCAGGATCCAGAAGGTAATTATAGGCCCTACAGAATATTAAATCAATAAATGATGATGCAGCGTTTGAAATGGAATATTAGTGGAAAACCGGAAGGCTCAGTTAAATGTTCAGGAAAATACAACGATGATGCCGTTGTAGTAACGAAAGGAAGCATGCCATTAAAAAATTACAGGTCTGAAGCTGAAATTGATAAACCTACAACCGAGGCAAATGTAACTGAACGAAGGTCCAGAAGACCAGACCTTAAGAATTAGTCAGAACAAAAATGTATGTTGATGACAAGGGGAAAAAAGATAATAGATAGGAAAACAGCTAAACGAAAATCGGCTCAGCTTAGAAGCGGTCGGCAAGATGATGGTTAATAAGTCAGCGATTATTCTTAACGAAATCAACCAGAGCAAACATATCCTGACTACGTAAGGCGGCTAATTGCTGCCTTTGCATTTTGGCTAATGTCAGTCTCCGAAGTTTTCTGCTTCTTTTAGCTTCATTGTACAGTTTTATAAACGGTGTCGCAACATGAGTAACATTCGTAATTACTGGTTCCCACGATGGATAATGGAACATTATATTAAATTTCTTCGCCCATCGAGCAACAATCGCCCTTTCTGTTAAGAATTTATGGCCAGACAAAGTTCTCTTTTCGCTTTTATAATAGTATGAACACTCTTGCTTTGAATCAGCATAGTAATGATATGGTGTTCTGTCGTTCGGATGATTACTGAAAACAAAAAACAATATAAAAAAACATTGATTGTAAGATTATTGAGAATGTCATGAATGGTCTGACGTACCCAACAGTTACTTTTCATACAGTTGTTTAAAATATTGAACCTTCATCCAAGTCCCCATTTCAATTTTACAGCGAAGAGGATGCTTGGACAAATAATAGCCAAAAAAGGGGGGTTGGGGTTGTCTCTTTTATGGATTACTGAGGCCTGAACTCGCCAAATACAGATACAGAACACAGCAGCAGAATTCACATAAACCCTGATACTCAATAACCTCCAGTGGCTGCGCATTGACAAGAGGCTTATCTTCAAGATCCTTCTCACTAGATTCTAAGCTATTTATTTGACCAGCTAACTTACATCACACACACAACTGTACACTATTGTACAGCGAAGAGGAAGCTTGGACCAAAATTAGGCTAAAATGGGTTAGGAGCTATTTATCATGGGAAATTGTTATATAAACTATGCTTTCGTTGCATTTACATGAAATAAGGGCCTCAGCACTAGGCAATATTGAACCTAGAACTTGTTTTAATGCTTTGTTTAGTTCATGGGGTGCAGTATCTTTAAATTGTTCATGCAGACGACAGTGTACAGAAGTAATAATATGAGATTATGCAGATTATACCACCATACATTGTTGTTGCATTTAAATAGCAAAACAGCAGGCGTAGCTTCAGTCTAATGATGACCATGTGACCAACTGTTCAATTTAATGTGTAGCTCCAAAGAAAAAAAAAAACACTGCCGGATACTAGAGCCGAAATAATTTGAATACATACATTACTGGCAAAGAATCTGAGGCTGAGAAAGACAACCATCACCATAAGTAAAGTTGGATGAGATGAGCAATACCATGCAAGAAATTGGTGAAGTGGAGATAAACGAAATTTCTGGTAACTTACAGATTTCAAGACAAATATTGCGGAGAAGAGGGTCAGTTGTCAATTTGATTGGTATTGTTCAAGATCATGCAAAGCTGCATGGAGGAGACTGAGACAGAACGAGAACATGATGACAAGGTACAGACCTCTCGAATGCTGTAGAGTTTGGTGTGCAGTTCCAGATGCAAATATATTTCTACAGTCTACTGCCATCTCCAAGGACAGCTCTAGTATGCATGCATGTGATTAAAACCCAGTAGTGTGTCGTAGTCTTCTTGTTACGGCCAAACTTTACGAGGACCAAAATAGTCGCATGCACATGCAGTGAAATAGAAAGGTGGCGTTGATGGATCGATTGAGCCAACCTTTCTACGTGAAAGTGATTTCCTGATGATGACATAATAAATGTCGAAATATTGAATCCCAACACGTTGGCGTGCATTTCGATACTTGGAGTATGTATTATACTATTTTAAAGTAGCTCGGTTTCTGTTATGTGTTTGTCAATGTCAATAAAACGTTAATATAATGTTAATGCATACAAAACGCGCTTTAAGAACTGCTGTTCTATAGCCTATCGTTCTTTTTTGCATTATGCAGGAGCGTAACAGCTGTAGGCTTTTACTGGCTAAACCCAGTGGGTCTGGCCTTAAAGTGCCCTGGGGTATACTGTTTGGCCTATACATTGGCCAAGTGGTGGCACTTTTTTAAGGAACACTAAACCTATCAAAATACACTTTTTTTAATAAGAACCAGTAACATTTTTGCCCATACTCAGTGTTCTTTTTTTTTTTTTTGGCCAATTTCAGGCTCAAAATGTTCTTATTTTGTTCTTATGTTACACACTTTTCAAATACAAATGTATTAATTCACCAGTATACACTGTGCTGGGATGTAGGTAAAAGTGCCCCAGGAAAAACTGGCCCAGAAAAAAAAGGCCACTGAAAAAACTTCCCCAAATGACAAGTAAGGTATACACCTCCAGTACTGTATTATAGGGGGTATTACATAGTCGCACCTACTGCACATAAGGTACAGATATATTTTTTTGGTTTTTCTAGTTTTTAAAAAAAAAATCTTGGACATTTTACCTCAGCCTCAATTTGTTCTTATTTTGTTCTTAAATTTTAAGCAATTTCAGCCTCAGTGTTCTTATAAAATGTGTTCTTATAAAAAAAAAGTGTACTCTCTTAAAACGTTAAAAAAGCCAAAGCAGAAGAGGCTTTTCTCCTGGGTGTAAGGCCCAGAAGAAGCCTTAGCCAAGGGTCTCAGACCAACGCCACTGCATAATATGTGTGGTGTCTACAATGTTTAGTTTTCTCACTTTACAAAACAAATTTAGAGAGGATAATTCACACCAGTTGATTTTTTTTCTTTTCAATTCTACTGGTATTAACATGGAGAAAGAGTGATTAGTTGATTGATCGCTTAACATACACTTATAATAATAAAAATGATTTGTGAACGAATATAAAAAGTAATGGGCATTAAGGACAAAAATTATCCAAACAAATTAAATGTGTTTCTCTAGTCAGGAGTTTTTGCTCTAGATAGGTTATTGATTATTTTTTTTTTTTTCCTGGTCTTAAACCTGTTTCTCACACTGATACAACTTGCCCTAATCTACATTTGTTAGTCAGTCTCAGAATTGTTTATTCCCATGTATCATACTTTCTCACCATGATACCACTTTACTCTGATTGGATAACTGCCTCATTTAAATAATTGCATATTAATTAGGATTTCTGGTAATTGTCTCTTTGTGTTATAGGCCCCTATGTATTATTCCTGATGATGCTTAAATAAAAGCGAGACGTTGAATAAAATGGCCTTGTCAATTTTTGGAGTGACATTCATACTATTTCAGGGACACCCATTAGGACAACAGAGTCAAACCAATTTTCAATATGGGTCAACCACAGTTATAACTCCCACTAACACTTCAGCATTTATTTTACTGTGGTTCCCGATTCTATTTATCTATCTACTACAGAATAAACCCCTCCTCTGGAACACCCGAATTCAGAAGACGCCTAACAATTATGGTGACTCCTTTCCGTAAAATAAGGGGAATATCTTTTAACTCACTACGACCAACCCATTTTAAGGGAACACCCCGACTAAGAGAGCGGAGACGCTTTCTGAGTGTGTCAAATTAACACATTTTCAACTCCTATAAG